CTTTTACACACAGACGCTTTTTACACACAGACGCTTTTACACACAGACGCTTTTACACACAGACGCTTTTTACACACAGGGGCTTTTACACACAGAAGCTTTTACACACAGACGCTTTTACACACAGACACTTTTACACAAAGACGCTTTTACACACAGACGCTTTTACACACACACACACACTTTTACACACAGACGCTTTTACACACAGACGCTTTTTACACACAGGCGCTTTTACACACAGACAAGTCCGGCACAAGTAAAACCGCAATTTTACCTCAGTTTTTGACGATCGACCCTCATTTCGTGCGAAAGGGTTGCTCCGGGACAAGTAAAATCGCAATTTTACATCAGTTTTTGACGATCGACCCTCATTTCGTGCGAAAGGGTTGCTCCAGCACCAGTAAAACTGCAATTTTACCTCAGTTTTTGACGATCGACCCTCATTTCGTGCGAAAGGGTTGCTCCGGGACAAGTAAAATCGCAATTTTACTTCAGTTTTTGACGATCGACCCTCATTTCGTGCGAAAGGGTTGCTCCAGCACCAGTAAAATCGCAATTTTACCTCAGTTTTTGACGATCGACCCTCATTTCGTGCGAAAGGGTTGCTCCGGGACAAGTAAAATCGCAATTTTACCTCAGTTTTTGACGATCGACCCTCATTTCGTGCGAAAGGGTTGCTCCAGCACCAGTAAAATCGCAATTTTACCATATTTTACCTCAGTTTTTGACGATCGACCCTCATTTCGTGCGAAAGGGTTGCTCCGGGACAAGTAAAATCGCAATTTTACTTCAGTTTTTGACGATCGACTCTCATTTCGTGCGAAAGGGTTGCGTTTCGTGCCGTCTCGTTGGCACTGAACCTGCTCCCGCCTTCAAAAGAGAAATAGAAAAGAAGGAGAGAGCAAGAGGGCAAGAGGGCAAGAGGGCAAGAGGGCAAGAGGGTAAGAGGGCAAGAGGGCAAGAGGAGAAGATGTGAGATGAGAAGATGTGAAGATGAGAAGATGTGAGAAGATGTGAGTAGATGTGAGAAGATGTGAGAAGATGTGAGAAGATGTGAGAAGATGTGAGAAGATGTGAGAAGATGGGAGAAGATGTGAGAAGATGCGAGTGGAGGTGTGAGAAGATGTGAGAAGATGTGAGAAGATGTGAGAAGATGTGAGAAGATGTGAGAAGATGCGAGAAGATGTGAGAAGATGTGAGAAGATGTGAGAAGATGTGAGAAGATGTGAAGATGAGAAGACGTGAGAAGATGTGAAGATGAGAAGATGTGAATATGAGAAGATGTGAAGATGAGAAGATGTGAAGATGAGAAGATGAGGAGATGAGAAGATGTGAAGATGAGAAGATGAGGAGAAGATGTGAGGATGAGAAGATGTGAAGATGAGAAGATGTGAAGATGAGAAGGTGTGAAGATGAGAAGATGTGAAGATGAGAAGATGTGAAGATGAGAAGATGAGGGATGAGGAGAAGATGTGAGGATAAGAAGATGTGAAGATGAGAAGATGTGAAGATGAGAAGATGTGAAGATGAGAAGGTGTTTTACAGACCCCCACTATTGGAAGAACCGTGCGCTCAGACGCTCTCGGGAATAAGAAAAATGAAGAGACACGTATGCATGTAAGTATATGTATACATGTAGCTATGCATATAATGCATGTAGAGTATGCAATGTATGTAATGTATGTAAGGTATGCAATGTATGTAATGTGTGTAAAGTATGTAAGGTATGCAATGCATGTAGTGTGTAGCATGCAATTATATGTAAGTAATACATGTAGTACATGCAACACATGCAATGCATGTAAATACATAAACATACATGTAGTGTATGACCTGGCATGGCCTGGTATGGTGGGATGCATGGGGCACTATGGTGAAACATATCCACTTCTTAAAGCAATGCTTTTGGTTTTCTTTGCTTTGACCCACATGCCAGGACTTTTTGATTCCCCTGAGACACCTGTCGAAAATACAGTGCCGCATTGTGTTTTTTTGTCCATGCGCGTTGAAGTGACTTTTTCTGAAAATGCCAGAAGCCTTCTGGAAACACACTGGTCGGTGGTATACCTACCCCTCTGAAAAATATGAGTTCGTCAATTGGGATCATTGTTCACAATATATGGAAAAACATGTTCCAAACCACCAACCAGCACGGTACAGTTTGTCGCACTGTGCCACATGTCGGACAATCACAGCCCAGCTGAGATTGCTGGAGGTGAGGTTTTTGCAAATGTGATAACAGGGAACCCAAAGAAAGGGTGGCTTGAAATTCATTGATTTTTTTGTTTTAATAGGTTTTGGTACAAAGACATAGAAACAAAATGAAAACAACATCTGAGCATTCTTTTGAGGTCTGCACAATTTCATGCGTAATTATATATATATATATAAATCATTCGACCACCCCATGATGCCAGAAGTTCAACCAGAAGATCTCCACAGTAGCTCAGGTGCAGCAAATGATATCTGACCGGTCAGCTCAAGATTGGGGTGCTGAAATCAGGTCCAAAAAAAGCTATAAATGGGATAAAATAACTCCTGTAAGTAAGGTCATATATCATGAAATAAGCCAGTAACATTACTGGCTTGAAGGCTCTTACAGACCAGTTTAAAATCTATATAACCCCATTGATCTGTATAACTGGGCGGCTTTGGTCGCCATTGAACACTAAAAAACAACACATTGATTCTCCCCATGTTTGGGCCAAAATGCCCAAATATATAACATCAACGGTCACTGTCGGGCATTGAGGCTGTCAGCGAAACTTTTTCGGCATTTAATAGGAACATAAACTGGTTGGTGGTATACCTACCCCCTGAAAAATATGAAAGTCAGATTGGATCATCATCCCAACTATTGGGGAAAATAAAACATGTTCCAAACCACCAGCCAGAAAATGAACATAGCGATTTGCATATACCAGCCGTATGAAATTCATGGATGGAGCCCAGACACTCCTGGGTCAGACGCTAGCGTCAGACGCCGATGTGCGAGCTGAGCATGTGTTGGTCTCCTTGTAGATGTATATATATATATACATAGAGAGAGAGAGAGAGAGACATGTATCAAGTCAAACGCGCGCCAACTTTCTTTCCCACAGCATTTGTTTAATCCTAATCCTGTGAAGTCCCATTAAATCAGATAAAAATCCCATCAAAACCTGTGAAGTACCATTGATTCTTGAGGGAAAGTCACGGGGAAAACCATCCAGAGTCACCTGCTGAAATCTGATGAAACTGGGACATGTCCCGCAGCCATGAAGGTTTATATACTGGTTGGTGGTGACTTAACCATCTTGAATAATATGAGTTCGTCAATTTGGAAGAATTATCCCCTATATTATGGAAAATAAAAAAAGTTTGAAAGCACCAACTAGTATATTTATAGCCCCACTAGCAGTTGAAACTGACTATTTCATGATATATATGTCCCTTGGTTACATTCGAGTTATGTTATCCCATGACTGTTCAGGTCAGGGCCATCATTCCGCTGGACAAAAATCGTCCAGGAATGGTTTCTAGATTTTCCAGCACGCCATTTTTTTGGGGTTATGGTTTTAACTCACTACAGTCTTTTTTGCTGATTAAATACCTCTGGCGCTATTCCGCTGACCTTCTGAAAGTGATTTTTTTTACATGAATGAATGTGATGTGTGCCTAATTCATCCTAGCCCTGTTCAAAACAAACAACAAAAAAACTAGAAACAAAAAACACAACAACCTCGATCTCTACTTCCCATTGGATCTACAGTAATACCTTCACCTCTGCCACTCCAAGCAGCTTTTGCGATTCGCGATGTCGGGATGAAGCAGCTGCGGTCAAAGATAGACATAGATTATATATATATATATAACATAAATAACAAATCAATGAACAACATGCACAACGAACATCATGCAAATCTAATTCAGTATGTTACCTTGACACTGTAGTTGTATCTATATCTAAATAAAACTAAATAATATCATCATATCATAATATCATATATATATACATATATGATATTATATACCCTCTGGTGATCAAATGTCGCAACTAAAAATCATTTCTACATGCTGTTTGTGGTCTGAAAATATCAAACTCTAGATTCTTCAGCAGAGGGTTTGGTCGACCTCCGAGTCCATCGAACCATCCACACTGGCGCGTAGACAATTCATGCCACTGTCACAAGAAAACAAGTTGAGGCCATAACAACGTTTTGAAACAACATCCTAAGTCGATTCAATGGTGGAATTCATCAATCGGAAAAGACAAATCCAAGTTTTTCAGATGCTTCATGATTGGGTTTACCGGTTTACCAGCTAAAACATCCCAAAGCAAATCCCATATTTTTCCCAGAAACAAAAAACATGACACTGTTGACATTATTTTCCCATATTTTCCCATATTTTATATGGATCTCGAAGAATCTTTGACACAGATCCCAGTGAATTCACCAAGTGATTCATGGGATTGCTCAGCCTGAAAACCGGCCACGTTGAGGCCAGGTGATGCACTTGCGGCGGTCACTACAATGGGACCAAGGTGACCAGAAGTTGGGGATTTCAATCCCCAAATGGTGGTAATCACTATTATGTATGTATATATATAACTGTAATTATATATATATATATAAATAGATGTATATACATATATGTATATATATATATATGTAAATATATATATATATGTAAATATATATATATATATGTATATATATATATATGTAAATATATATATATATAGATATGTATATATATAAATACTATAATGATATATATATATATAAATAAATGTAAATATGTATATATATATGTATATATATAACTAAAATGATATATATATATATATATATGTATATATATATATATATATGTATATATATATATATGTATCCACTTAGTTCGCTGGAACTGCACCCCCCAATTCCAACCCTTTCGGGAAATGACCAGCGCTGGTTTCAACTGCTGAAACTGGTGCCACTTCATCTAAATTGGTATGTTGAACCCTTCGAAATGGGGACACGTCTTGGGGGGGGCACCTTAGTCATTGAAACCTGCCAGGTTGTGAAAAACTGCTAGGACCAGCTAGGACAGCATCCACTCAGGGTTTTCCATGGAATCCTCTCCGAGTTCCATGATCATTGCCTGGATCTGCCAACGGGCTGGGACGTACCTCCAATATGTCATTGCCAATCCGCACTATGATGAAGCATTTCCTGGATCTAAATGGGAAGTTGATATATGGTTGAAAGGCATTTTTTTTATCGCCCAGTTACCCACCTAACTTGGTAGTCGAGCTGTAAACCATAGAGGGATTCAACCTCCAACATTGAGACCCAATTAATGGAAACCCCCTTTTTATGATTTGCAATAAGTTGGTGGGAATAACTGCTGAGGTTAACTCTCGTTGATGGTTCGTAGATAAATCGAACAATGCTGGCAAAATTAGGGATTTATATTCGACCTCTTAGAAAACCATAAGTATAGGTTTCCGTTCAAATTGATCCAGGTTTTAAATACTATCTTTCACCAGTCCATTTAAGTTACCCTTTGGTTATTTAACAGTTTGCTATCAAAAGTGGCCCATAAACAAAATACTTCACTTCGAATGATCCCCACCATGGCATTTATACATTTTCTTACTGGCAAATCTTCTGGCATTCTATCTGACATATCTTCTGGCATTCTATCTGGCATTTTATCTGGCATATGTTCTGGCATATCTTCTGGCATTCTATCTGGCAAATCTTCTGGCATTCTATCTGGCATTTTATCTGGCATATGTTCTGGCATATCTTCTGGCATTCTATCTGGCAAATCTTCTGGCATTCTATCTGGCATATCTTCTGGCATTCTATCTGACATATCTTCTGGCATTCTATCTGGCATATCTTCTGGCATTCTATCTGGCCGTTGAGGTCCGGCAGTGCCCACTGGGATCTAGAGCTCGCGGTGGAGGTCCGGCAGTGCCCACTGGGATCTGGCGCTCGCGGTGGAGGTCCGGCTGTGCCCACTGGGATCTGGACTGCGAGGAGGAGGAGGAGGACGAGGAGGAGGAGGATGCGGAGGCAGAGGAGGAGGAGAACAGCGCTGATAAAATCTAACAACCCGCACCTGGCAGGTGGGGAATGATACACCTGATGATTTATTTATTTTGAAATTGGTGGGTTTTCCACACCTACGTCAGTTTAATAGGTACATTCAACTTGTGGTGTTTTTTCCACATCTAAATAAATGATAAACGTGATGATTTTACCTATTAAGAATGGTGATTTACCCAAGGGTGCATTTAACCGTCATTGAACAAAATCATCGCCGCGGTGTTGTCTCTTTGCGCCTCGACGTCTCTCTTGACCTCTACGGCCTCATAGAGCTCTTCGGGGTCCTGTTCCAACTTGTCCAAGTAACTCCTTGGAACCATGTGGGGCCATTCAAAATACCACTGTTCATTGGTGAATTTGCAGGGAATTATACTACCTGGCTTATTGGGGATTATTTTATATAACCTCCATGCTATGAAATCAACAGATATATGTATCTAAATATCAATAGAATATGAAATAGGTAAGCATTTCTGGTATGAAGTGTGAACCAAGAATCATATACATACAAAAAAAACGCGTAGTTATATACAAATATACATTATATCCATACATCAAAGGTGTAGATCTGGAGGGTCAACATTTAAGACCCAGGAAACCACGGTAGTGGGCTATCTAATTTTGACGAAAATTCACCATGTATCAACAGACATTTTTTGCCCCCTATCCATGTATAGCTATATCTTTATAGGGCCTATCTTTCTCTTTGAATGTTTGTATATAGCCTCTGTCTATCAAAGAAAGTTAAGAAAATAAAAACGTGCATATATATATACATATACGTGTACATAGAGCAACACAACTAGAATCAACACCTAGAATTTGTTTTTTTAAAAACATTCCAAACATGGTGAAAAAATCACTTGCATTTTGTTTCCGGGTTGCTGCATAAACACATATAATTCCCCACATCACTGTGTGGGGTTCTTGTTTTTCGCTTGGATCCCGCCGCTCCTGTTCCCGCTCCCGCCGCGCCGCTTCATCCCACAACTCATCACACCACAACTCATCACAGCTCCACTTCTCACCTTACTTATCGCTGATCACACCTCTCATCACATCTTGATCATCACATCTCACTCATCACACCACATCTCACACCTCACTTTTCACATCTCTCATCACATCTCACTTATCACGTCACTTATCACATCGCTCCTCACATCTCACTCATCACACCACAACTCATCACAGCTCCACTTCTCACACCTCGCTTATCTTGCTCATCACATCTCATTCATCGCACCACACCTCAGGCGCACTACACAGAGCCTTCTGGCGGAGCTGCACACAGAGCATCCTGGCGGAGCTGCGGCGCGCGTGGCCGCCGCTGGCCCGCGGCTGCCTTTTGTGTGGCAGGCGCAATACACAGAGCCTCCTGGAGGAGCTGCACACAGAGCATCCTGGCGGAGCCACTGTTCGTTTCAGGTGAATAGTGCGCCAAAATCTGGCTTAACAGGCTAAAGTCAAATGCATGCACGCATGGATGCATGGATGCATGGATGCATGGATGGATGGATGGATGTATGGATGGATAGATGTATGGATGTATAGATGTCTGAATGTCTGTCTGAATGTCTGTCTGTCTGTCTGTCTGTCTGTATGTCTGTATGTCTGTATGTCTGTATGTCTGTATGTCTGTATGTCTGTATGCCTGTATGTCTGTATGTCTGTATGTCTGTATGTATGTATGTATGTATGTATGTATGTATGGAATGTATGCAATGTATGCAATGTATGTAATGTATGCAATGTATGCAATGTATGTAATGTATGTAATGTATGTAATGTATGTAATGTATGTAATGTATGTAATGTATGTAATGTATGTAATGTATGTAATGTATGTAATGTATGTAATGTATGTAATGTATGTAGTGCATGTAGTGCATGTAATGTATGTAATGTATGTAATGTATGTAATGTATGCAATGTATGCAATGTATGCAATGTATGCAATGTATGCAATGTATGCAAGGTATGCAATGTATGTAATGCATGTAATGCATGTAATGTATGTAATGTAAGTAATGTAAGTAATGTATGTAATGTATGTAATGTATGTAATGTATGTAATGTATGTATTTTTTTTGTAATGTATGTAATGTAAGTAATGTATGTAATGTATGTAATGTATGTAATGTATGTAATGTATGTAATGTATGTAATGTATGTAATGTATGTAATGTATGCGATGTATGTAATGTATGTAATGTATGTAATGCATGTAATGCATGGAATGTATGCAATGTATGTAAAGTATGTAATGTATTGCAATGTATGTAATGTATGTAATGTATGTAATGTATGTATTATATGTATTGTATGTATTGTATGTATTGTATGTATTGTATGTATTGTATGTATGTATGTATGTAAGTATGTATGCAGTACATACATGCAAATATAAATGAATGGACATGTATGGGCACATGCATGGACACATGTATATATATAATATATATATATGTAATTATATATATACATACACACGCAATGTACTTGTACAAATGCAAAAAAAAAAAAAACATATATCAATATCTAAGTGTGCGTGTATAACGATATATGTATATGATTTATATGATATATGTATATATATACAGTATATGAACGGGCATTTATATATATATGTGTGAATACATATACACAAATGACATGGTTTTAAGATTTACATTCATATGTATGAGGATATGAGTTTACATATGTATATATATATTATACAATTATGTATAGGTCTACATGCATGTACATATATTCGTAGGTATTTGCAGTATGACTAGCATGGGCGCATAAGTCAAACGATACAGGACCACTTTAAACCAAAAGTTTCCCAGCAAGAAGAAGATAGCATCACCAAACATCATCGTGGGATTCCCTTCACCTACGGCAACATATGTACAATTGTATACATATCTGTCATCTGTTGGTGGTTCCAACTCAAAAAAACAATCGTCAAGTTGCCAACATGTCCACTCACCTAGTGTAGAACAAAGACAACGAAGATGCTAGAAATCAAAGAACTATCCACTTACAAGTACTTACAGCGTGGAACTGCGCGCCCAAGTACCTCTCAGTTGGAAACACTCCAACTAAAGGGATCATAAGCCACTTACTTTGGCAGGTACCCATCTTCGTCAAAATCAGAAGTATCTGTGGCTCCTAGGGCCTAGAAATGGCTCAATACTCATCTTTGATGGTCGAATTATTGTTTCTCCAGGAATTAAAACATGTTTTTTGTTGATTCCAAGTGTAAATTATATAATCTCCAGGAATATACCATTATTGTTTCTTAAGTGTAAATTTCTGTCTTTTGGGCGATTGAATACTCACGACATTTGCTGCTTGAGTCCTTTTACAAGTTTGCAGGTCCCCATATTTGCTGGTTAACCTCTAACCAACCCCAATCACCCGGCACCGTGAAAAAAAAACATCGCCCAAGGGTCGTGAGCTTTCTCACGTGCCGATCGTGCAGTTTGCGGTCGGGAGGTAGCGGAATGTTCACACCTCTACAGGGGAGCCCTAGAATGGTGGCCCTGCCAAGTATGGATTTGAAAGGACAAACAATGCGTTACTCTCTGGCAATTAAACGTTGTAATCAAACATCTATCCATGGTCAATTTTCACTTGCCACGTTTGATTGCCGAAAGGTATATTATGGTATATTTAGGTGTATAGATGAAAATAGTATAAAGTATATATTAATGAGATTCATTCACCAACCTGAAAAAAACATATACATACACCACCATCTGGTCATTTCATGTAGCTATGATATGGAAGCCATGACCCATTTAGTTCCATGATTTACTTTCAAAATGGTGATGTTCAGTAGTTATGTCAAATTCCCGGAGGGTATATATAGATGACATGTACTAATTCACCAACTCGAAAAGTTCGGCCCGGTATTGGGATAGTTACCCAGTTACCAGTTCCCATGATTTGCCAAGAATGTGTGGCGGTTCCTATGATATCCCCCCATGTTGGCACGGGTTATTTTGCAACGTTTCATGGTTAAAAATCAGAAATTGAAACATTTCGCAATGTGCGCAATGTATGGCACAGTTCTTTAAGTGTTTGCCTCATCTTCCATCTGAAGCGATAGGTCCCTGACCAGGTATCGAAAATCAATCTAATATCAGCTTGGTTGCCTATCTCAGAAACGATTTGTCTATTCGATTTTCTATTGTCAGGTTTAATTAGTACCAGAACCAGAAACTCTTCAGTTGAAAACTCCCCAATTGGGTTTGTCTGAATTTCGATGGATTATCCTCATGCTTCGCGTTGGCCTTGCCAACAAGACTGCGGAAACTGACTAATCTGGACAGAGCCGACACAAACCAAACAACTGGCAAACCAAAATCCGGTGTTTTGAGGAGTTCCCATATAGGAAGGGGCTCCAAAACGACAGCCCTTTAAGGTGGTTCCTTCGAGTTGTTGTTTGGATACAAATCTATCTGTTAGCCTTTGTGGTTACCATTTTGCTAAGAATGAACTCCCTACGAACTGCGTTCACTGGGGCACTGGGAGGGAAAATGATGATCGCGCCTTCGGGCCAAGAAGAAGGACGAGGGCCATGAGGGCTCTTGTAGGAGCTGGCAAAACCTCAGGCGGCACGCAAACGTGCGAGCAGTGAAGCGTTGTTTGGTATTTAGATACAACATGCGTTGATCATGCTGAAGTTTATGTATACATATGTATATTGCCATGTATGTATACCATGCATGTATATATATATATATATACAGAGAGAGAGAGAGAGAGCAAACGTGACATAGATACCAATCTACCTGCCATCCAGGCAACCTAGACATCATTCAATAAATGTTCATCACATTTGTCAAACGTCCAATAAATCCATTGCCTATAAATTGGTTCATTTCAATGTCAAATAAAAAATAAGATACATAAGTGTCATTCGACGTTTCAGATTATTCAATCACACAATTATCCTATTCCTAGACATAGTGTTGTTCCTAGACATATCTCAATGCACAGCACATGTGCCATGGTCAAGGTTTCTCGAGCTATACCCACAGTCAAAGGTGGCGTATTTCATGATAACCAACTAAGTTAACCATGAAACTAGTTAGAGGAGTTATTTTATGATCCCATTTAAGGATATTAAAGGCCCATTGAAAAAGGGCCATTTACCATGCCATAACTGGCATCGGTCGTCAATGGTCCATAGGCATCAAGCCATCGGGCTTGCTGGGATGACCGTTCGGGGCCGTTCGCGAAATCATGGGATGATGCCCGGCCGGGTAAACGAACTAACAGATGCGAACTGGAAAGATCCATCATCTTTAATAGGTAAAGCAAATATTTCTATGGGCCATTTGAACAATAGCTATGTTTAGCTATGTTAAATTACCAGACGCTAATTCCTGGTGATATATCATGAAATAAACTAGGAACAGAGCTGTTCAGGGCTACAACTGTGGTGATGAATTATCTATAAGATTAATATGTCAATATATATATATATATACCCAGAGCTCATATACCACATATCGCATGAGCCGATTCATTCCGAGTAGCTTGGCCGTCATATCAAGTTGGGTCACATACCCTGAGGTAATCAAATATGGCTAGCTGGAACATCCCCGAACTAACTAGGGTTTTGAAATGTGCTGAGTGGACAGGTCATCTATGAAGGGGATGCAGTATTCTTCATTGCCACGTTTGATTACCAAAGGGTGTACTGTATATATCCCATTGTATCAAAGTATATATCAAGATATCAAGTCATAGATGTTTTTCAAACTATATCCCCAGTATTACCTTGACTTGTTGCACACGGGGTACATCCAATGCATCCAGCAACACACACCAGGTTCATCTAGATCCACTGCATCCGTCGCGCTGATACGGCTGCTGGGAACCCTGAGATGGGGATAATGCTTGGACGTGCGACACCCTCGCATTGTATTTATATCAAAACAAACGGTTAAACGCATGCAAAACTAGCTGGTTGGTGGTTTCAACCCCTCCGAAAAATATTAGTCAGTTGGGATCATTATTCCCAATACATGGAAAAATAAAAAATGTTTTAGTCCACCAACTAGCTAGAATATGGACTTACCCACTTGTGATTCCTGGGCCCCTTGCGTTAAATCTCCAGAGGCACCCCAAATCATCCAGTCGTCAGACCATGACGACTGGAAGCGATGGCGCCATTGTTTTATGGGGATCCCACATTTTACTTACTGGCGCTTAGTAGGGAATGGATGGGAATGGAGGAATGGGATTATTATTACTAGTGATTATGGATCATTCCCTGATTCCCTGCTAAGCACCAGTAAGTTTTAGGAAACCTCCCAATGGATCACTCTACATAAATCTCTTGAATCTACAAACCAAGAAGGTAGTTCGCGAACACACAGCGGATATTTCACCAACGAGCATTATTATTGTATATCTATAGTTCTGTGAATCCATCAATCTAACATCTAACTATCAATCAATCTATCTCTCTATAATCCGCTGGCCTGCCGGCGTGTTTTGTGGATGTTCTTGTGATAGATCTCGTGATAGCTTTAGCTTCGCCTATAATTTCTCCTTCCACAGATTTTTGTTTTCGCCGCCCTACCCCTCCCACATATACACTATGGCCCAAGATATTCTAGTATTACTATACAGTCTAATTACTTTCGTTTAGTCTAGTATAGTCTTGTAAAATCTAAGTAAACCGGTATAGTCTAGTATAGTCTAGCCTTGTATAGTCTAGTATAGCCTGGTCTTTTTCTCAAGCTACCTAGCACTGACCTTATTTATATCAACATCGTTTCGGTGGTCATTGTCACCATCTTAAAACAGTAACAATGATAATAATCATCTTCTTCTTCCGGCTCACCCCTGGGATGAACCATTTTTCCACCTGCTGCTGTGCCCGACACTTTCCACAAGCACCTGCCACTCCTGTTTTTCCAAACTCACGGCCTTCTCCGCGTGCACTCTGACAGCCATGCCGCTTGCATCTACCAACTTGGCTCCTCTCTGTTTAATCGCGGTCTTACACACCAGCTTCTACACTACCAAGGTTTACACCAGCCAGCTTTTACACCAACACTCTTTTACACCAGGCACTTGTTGCAGAAACCTGCTGAAAACACCAACCAGCTTTTACACCAACCAGCTTTTACACAAATCCGCTTTTACACAAACCACTTTTACACCAATCAGATCTCACACGAGCTTTTACGCGCACCAGCTTCTACGCAAACCAACTTTTCGATCAACCAGCTTTTACACAAACCACTTTTTGCTACAACCAACTTTTCGATCAACCAGCTTTTACACAAATCAGCTTTTACACAAACCAACTCTTTGGACAAAGCACCTTTTTACGCAAACCACCTTGGACACCAACCAGCTCTACACAACCCCTGCTTTGGGCCTGTAGGCCAAAGGCCAGAGGCCGGCGGAATGCCGAAGGCTGCCATATATATATATATATATCCAGGCCCCCTATCTGTCTATCTATCTATCTATCTAGCTAATATCTCTAATTAATCTATCTATCTACCTATCTAACTATATCATATATACATTGATACAACACATGTAGATGTAGATACAGTAGATAATATTTACTATTATAGTAAAACATTATACATATATATATGTATGTATATACACATACATAGCAAAAACTGGCTCGAGGCTTGTGAATCCAGGAACCATGCGCACTGTCGTGTGCCTGTGTCTCAAAGGGGGGTAGAAGAACATCTGTATATATCTGTATGATCTTGCTTAGGTCCTTTTCGTGCGATCCTTATGTTTGTCCGTGGTGGAGAGAGAAAGTAAACGACAGTAAAGGTTGCACTAATACCAACTGACTGACGCCTTCAAATAGCGGCTTCAAGAGTGAAGACAAGATGTGGCTATGGACGAGGATGAGCAGTAAAAAACCCTCGGTGAAACATAAGAAAGACTTTCCCAAGAAATTCACAAAATCGTGTGATTCCAGCAAAAACAAATGTCAGAGAACCACTGCCTTTATAGGAACAACATCACAAAAATTCACAAAGACAAGTGAAGAGAATAACAATAATATGATAATCTGATCTGTGTAAATTACATTAGTTCACTAACCTGAAATACGGCTATAGTGGGATAACTCTCCTTACTAACTATTATTCCGGTGAGGTCGCAGAGAAGGCGTTATAATTTACACAGAACAAGAACGACCATGACATTTTTTTTAAGCTGACATACGGCACGGAGGTTGGGGGCAACGATGTCCCCAACAGAATCCAATCAGATCTTCCATAGAGAGAGCTCACAAAATCGTGAAATGACAAAAAACACATGAAGCTGGAAGCTTATCGATTTCCGGGGAACTTCACGCCTTCGCCCTATAAATATCATATGTATGTATATATATATGTATATATATATATGTATAAATATATATTTATATATTATATGAGTTTCTTACGTCATGGGAGATCCACAAGTCACCATGGTTCTAATCATGGTCATGACTGGACGATCCCCGATCCTGGTGGACTTGGTGGCCTGAAGGCCCTGGCGTTTTCCGTGGTGCTTCCAGTCATCCCAGTACTGCTTAAGGTCAATCTGGACCATCATCTTACTGGTGCTAAACGTAGGGAATGGATGGGTTGCTGGGGGAATGGAATGATTATTGATAGTGATTATAAATTATGGATCATTCCCGAAAATTCCCTACGTTTAGCACCAGTAAGAAAAGCAACATGTTTGAAACTGAAACTATGTTCCCAGTATTTCCCAGTCAACACATTTCAGCTTCCCAAACCGGACCCGCTTCTGGCCGAGTTCTCCGATCGTGTTTCACTCACCGAGAATCAATGACTTCAGAGAGGCAACGCCTGCACAGAGCAGTGTTCAAAACCAGGGGCAGTCAGAGGGGATATGCTGGGGAAGAAGCGGAAAAACCAAAGGGAGAGAAAAGGGGATATATAATCTGGTTGGTGGTTTCAACCCCTCTAAAAAATAGTAGTCAGTTGGGATGATTATTCCCAATATATGGAAAATAAACAAAGTTCCAGACCACCAACCAGTAATTATGGCTTTACCCAACCTGCTTTTCCAAAAAAAAGAACGGGTGGTAAAGAACGGGACCAACTCATGGATGATGATTTTTCCCGAGTTTTCTTCATCAACCGGGGCTTTGACCACTGCTCAAACTGACAACGGTCCAGATGAGAAATGAGGCCGGGGATAGATTGGGAATCTAACCCAACAATGTAACGATATAGGACATATGTGTGTATATATATATATATGATATTATATATTATATATTATATATGTATATATGATAATTATTATATATTATATATGTATACCTGCACATAAGTAAAGCAGAAAGGGGATGTTGTGAGCCGCGTTTTTTTGAGGGATGTCTTACTGTATGTCCAAATATTTAGAACAAATATTGATCAAGAGCTTCTTTTTCCAAGCAGCAAAACCAGAACCACAAAATAATTATACTAATTATACTTCTCTCTTGCTTATTGAACGAGTGAGCTCAGCTCCAACATGCTGTTTCACGTCACTTCTTTGTCCATAAGAAGCCAAAAACGGCGAAGAAAACATAGCTCCACTATGATTCCTTGTCCTTTGAAGGGGACCCCCGCACCAAAAGAACCAGACTAGAAAAAACTAGGAGCAGCCAGCGAGGACAGATAAGCCAATAGAACTGAGTCTGTGCAAAAGATACTTGACTAGACGCAGGCTTGAATTGTATTTGCTTCGGTTTTTGGGAGAAAGACCCTGCAAAACCTTAGCTGAACAAGAATGTCAATGTGCGGACTTTGCTCAAGACATGTTATATATTTTGCCAAAATGAGTCAGTTGGGGGAGATACATGTCATGCTACTGTGAGTTCCTACCATTTATTTTATATAATCAAGAAATATTGCACTGTAACACCCTATAAAGATGTAAAGACTCTCTACACATTATTTTCCTACTTTCTGTCTCTCTCTCTCTCTTATATATATACAACAGTCGATTTACACCGGTAATTATGGTGTTCCTTGAAGAAGCCTATCATCACTTCATGCACTGCTACAACATTGCCTCTGAACGACCGCAGCCTTTGATTGAACAGATTATGTTGCTTTAAACAATGATTTGTCAATTTCACTTTGCTAGACTCTGGACATTCCGTTGAAATAAATGCAGTAGGTCTGTGAAAAGATTGTAGCATTGCTTTCAACGATCCTTCAAATTATGGCCTTGAAAGATTGTAGCATTACTTTGGGAAAACAAACCTTCAGCATATACAGCATGCAATGTGGTCCTCTCAATTGGGTTTGGTTTTGCCTAGGAAAGTGCAACTTTTCTGCTTGCATTTTATATACCTAAAAGAGTAGTACTACTTCCATGTTTACCCATTAACCCAGGCATTCCCCCATGTTTACCCATTAAAAACAACCAAAAAAAAACACTGCCTGTGTCCACTAGCTTCGGATCGACAGAAGTGTTTGAGCTGCGATCCAGCCGATGGCTGTCTCCCTGGCGTGGCGTTACTAGTTGTGTAGCAGAAATGAGGATTTTATCAGAAAACGTGATTGATTTGGGGCAACATTTACTGGATAATGTCATCACTATAGAAAAAATCGAGATTTGCCATCAGACATTACCGCATAAAACACATGGGGACTCCCTATCTAGCTGAGCCCTTCACGCTAGATGCCTAGAGGGAGGATCTCTATATGGCAAAGTTGCTGCAAACAACTCCAATAACTACAGTTGTGGCCCTTAATAGGCCTTGAGTGGGATGCAATAATTCATGCGACTAGATGCCGATTTATCATGAAATAAGCCAGTTTGAAGGCTATAAATTATATATATTTGGATTTTTAAGGAAGATATAACTATAGTTATTGGGGCTTATAAATTAGTTTTTATCTGTGGGGGGCCACATTGTATATACCAACCACCAACAACCACAACAATGAGGATTATATAATCTTGAGCAATCTCTTATCGACGGGGGATAACTTTCACAAAACAAGTTCCTTTCTGGGAAGATGGAGTTCTAATTGCCATTTACGAGAACGGGCAATAGCCAACAGTGAAACATGGGGAGACCGAGTAATAAGAAAAAGTGGATATGACTGTATAAGTGGATAGATTTAAGGGAATTGTTCCTGGAAACAACTCTTTTTCGTGTGTGATGAAGAATCGGGTTTCCGGCAGAATTCCCTCCAACCCTTTCTAGCTGTCTGGGAAACATATGGATAAATGCACAAATATGTATCAATATATATATATATATATACATACGTATACATACACGTATGTATGTATGTCTGTCTGCCTGTCTGCCTGTCTGCCTGTCTGCCTCTGTGCCTGTTTGCCTGTCTGCCTTCCTGCCTGTCTGTATGTCTGTATGTCTGTATGTCTGTATAACTGTATGTCTGTATGTCTGTCTGTCTGTATGTCTGTATGTCTGTCTGTCTGTCGTATGTATGTATAATTCTGGCTAACCTTAGATGTTAGCCATTAAACGGGGACTTTATCTTATCCTTCTGAAATGGTTGTTGACACAACACAAATGAGATTTACAGTGACTTAAGGCAATATAGACTATAGATGGCCGTGTTTTCTTCAAGATAAATACTTCACATCCATAGCAATCAATCACATAACCCTTAACCATCCTTAACCATTAACTACCCAACGAAGGTCCAGGGAAACTACAGTAAAATACGAACGACAATCATCAAACGACCTGGGCTAAATTTACATTCTCGCCTGGAACTTGTGATTTCTTTTGGTTTCTTCAGCCCCACAGTTATGGCCATGGCTATTAGTTATAACTGGTGATAAAATGGGATTATATATCATACAAATGAAGTTATAAGTACTTATAACTGGTAAAGGGCCATAACTGCAGAAATGGACTTAGAATATTTGAAATGGCCAGAAATCTTGCCAACTCAGACGGGAAAGCCCGCTGGGCAAGTGTAGGCATGCAAATGTGCATGACCTGCCACGCACACATAAAATACCAAGGGGCTTACGCATTTGGCAATCCCACTCTTGCTGGTGGTTTGAACCCCTCTGAAAAATATTAGTCAGTTGGGATGATTATTCCCAATATATGGAAAAATAAAACATGTTCCAAACCACCAACCAGTTGATATGTTGTTCTGGCTGAGTTGTTGCCGCCATTCGGGGGATTCCCGAATCCATTGTACATCAGTCCAGTGACGTCAATTTCGCGAGGTCATTGTAACTCATCATCCAGATATTACTGTATCCAGTTATAAGTTAGTTTATAATCCCAATAACCTGAGTATACTAGAGTATAAGTCATTGTAACTCATCATCCAAATATTACTAATATTACTGTATCCAGTTATAAGTATACTACAGTTATGTTCCCCATAAACCCTAGTTATTGGAGTTATTTACCAACTTAGCTAACTATGGGGCCCTCTCAACTCATAGCCGTGGTGTAGCTGGGCTATTCCTTTCTTCATTGGTAAACGATGCAAGCACAACAGTTAACTACAAGGTGGTGCCCCCTAGATAGCTAAGTTGGTTTATAACTCCAATAACTATGGTTTATAGGTGATATATCTATAGTTAATGGGATTATAGACCAACTTATAACTGGGGGGCACCACCTTGTATATACCCAACGAAAGGTTTATCCGCATAGATCAAAGTGTTTCATGGAATTGTCCAAATAGTATCAGATAGTGGGATACCAGTAAATGCTAATGAATGCAGCCCGGCTAAGGTTCACAACTCATAGCTTTCCTCCGGGATTTTGTGTTTTTTGATATTTTTTGGGACCACCGCAGGTCAACGCTTTGAAGCTCTGTTTGCCATGGCTAAATGATGCCAGAGCTTGGCTCTCTGGGTCCCTCATGGTGTCCGCGAGGCTTTGTAGGAGTTTTCCTAGGCGAAGGTTGTGCATCCCACAAGGTGAAACAAAAAATCATCCGAAATGCAAACAGCTATAGGATTTTGACTTAAAGCATGTGATTTAATGCGATTTAACGTTAGCTAATGATAGCTAAGTTGGTTTAGTTCACTAGAATATATAGACGTCTATAAGTGCTGGGTATATATTGTAGATATATTGAACTATAGTTATTTTTTTCACATAACTGGGGGATACTGCCTGACACCACCATCTTGCTATACAACCATGACGAAGCATGGCACACATGGTGCTGGCGGCGAATCTTACCCTGCAAACAATTTCATCTATTTTTAGCTGCTGAGGGTTTAGTAGATAATCCCAGTTACCCTCTGGTAATTTAACATAGCTATTGAACATGCCCATAGAAATGGTGATTTACCCATTAATAGCATGGTGATTTTCCATAGTTTTTTGGAAACGTTTACCAGAGGGTACTGCAAACGATGATTCAAAAATGCAAGTACTAAACTACCCCTAGATAAGTCCGAGCTACCCACCTGCATGAGTCATAGTGAGCCCCAAACTCTTGATCCCTACTTGATCATAAAAAAGGGCAACAGTACTCCTAAAATAAACAGTAAACATTGTAATATAAGGTAACCACTTCTATTCTATAATGTAACTCGAGGGTTTAGGTTTTTTTGCACAAAAAACACATCCCAGAACACACTTTTACAGTTGCGCGTGGAACGTATATGCTAAAGCCGACGCGACCGCAGGGTAAAGCACAGACACACACACACAGCCCACTAGACCCTGTCATTCATGATATGAAGACTTCCTAAAATAGGGGTACACCCAGTCATCATCCATTCATAGATGGACTTTCCATGAACTAAACCATCCAGCTATTGGGGTACCCCATGGTACCAAGAAAGCCCCATTATGTCCTCCCAACGCTCGCTAGTCACATCACCCATTAACCAACCGTCAAATTTGACCATCATTTGGGCGCTCACAATTGAGGTACCTGCCTCAAAACCATGAGTTTCCCATTCAACAACTGTTATTTTTGGATATTTTTGGATGGTTTTTTGGGTTCCAAGAAGCAACATGTTGGTATCTTCAACAGCTACTTATTCCTTAGTCAATACCAATATCTTGGTTCAACCGACTTCATCCCAGGGCTGCGACAGATATCTTTGCTGGTTTCACTGGCCATAGTTGCTGGGAACTAAAACCAACATCTGGTTGGTGGTTGAGCAGTTTGTCAGTTGGGATGATGACATTCCCAATATATGGAAAAATAAAAGCCATGTTCCAAACCACCAACCAGACATTGTTGCTAGTGCATTCCACATCTTCCACTAGTCAATGATGTTTCTTCTGAAGTCATTTCAAATCCGTGTCAAGTGTTGCCTTGCACCAAGCGAGTTGCGTGCATCTCGGGGTCGTTGAGCAGCAGGAAGTGCCGCTGTTTCATCTGACACCCGAGCGCTGGCTCCGCAGCCCATGGCAGAAAATCCGGAAAAAATGTGAAAAAATGCCAGGGCAGAGGAACTAAACAGCAGCGAAAGTGTGGCAAATGCTCTCATAAAAGTCTATAAAAGTCTTAAACCCGCTAAAAATGTCATCCCTTCGATTTGATCTACTGCTTCTCCGGGCCCACCACTTATCACATGCCCACAAAAACCTGGAGACCTCGTGGAATCGACGGTAATGTCATGAAATCAATCAGTTGGATGAATTATTCTCCATCAGTAATCAATATGATCAATATTGGCGATATTAATATGTTGGAATTCCAGGATCCTAAAATGGAGCTACGTTAGTACCATATGTTTGGCCATATTTTGTTGGGATATTCCCTTACATAGGCCTGAAAAATAGGCCTTACCCTCTGGTAATTTAACATAGCTATTGAAAATGACCAATTTATAGTTGATTTACCCATTGAAACTGGTGATTTTCCATAGTTGCGTTAGTTTACCAGAGGGTATATATGGTACAGTAGGTACCATCAATTTAGGTTCCTGAAATGGCCATCAATCAGTTGGATTAATGGAATATCCATCAGTATCCCCAGTCAATGATTTCCATATGGGTCAAAACCCTGGCACCTAATGAAACCCAAAAATAGCTGGTAAATGGATGTTCATCCTAAATTGATGATATATAATAGCTTTTGACCCATCCCCTTTTTTACCAAGTTATAAGTTCCAAGTCAACTTCGCCAGCACAAATCAGCAATCCAACTAAACATGCTCATATTCTTCGGCTGACAAAACACCCTATGTATTCTTAACTATGGATTCGAACCATGGAAATCCGTTTTTCAATAACTGGTTTCAACCCCTCTGAAAAATCTGAAAGTCAGTTGGGATTTTTATTCCCAATATATGGAAAAATAAAACATGTTCCAAACCACCAACAAAATAATACAACCAATTTTTGCCTCAAACTATTCAACTATACAACTGAATATATAACCATGTTTGTTTCTAACTATGGTTTCTTTGCTGCAACCAGAAAATCCCACCGACGCCTTCAGAGATCTCACCGATTTTTCGGCCTCGTCGGGCACTTCAGCCTGGCACCATACATATTCATGTAGTGTCCGTGTGTAAATGCATTATTGAAACATATGTATGTATGTATGTATGTATGTATGTATGTATGTATAAAAGCTAATATTATCATAATATATCATGTATATGTATACATATATATATATATATATATCAGATGTATTATAATATTAAAGATCACTCCCATGCGGCGCCTGATGATTCGGTGAGGGCCTTGGTTCGGCGCGCGAGACAATGGAAACGCTACGCTGTTTCTTTTTGGTACCTGTA